AAATAAAGAAGTAATTACTATAGAAGATTTATTTAAACCTTTAATTCAACTAGAAGCACCACTAAAGACCGTTAAAATAGAACCTAGTCGACCATCGATAACTCAAGATCAAAGACGAATAATTAAAACACAATCAGAAAGAATTGGGCATATCCCAGTAATTGAACAAAATTTAGAACAAGAAGAGATAACCAATAATCAAGTAAATAAATTAATTGAAGAGATAACCAATAATCAAGTAATAAATAAGTTGGAAAAATTGCAACAATCAATAGCAAATCTAGAGAATAAAATCTAACATCTATAAATATGCCTACTAACTATCATATAAATAAATTAATTGAAGGAATAGATGCTATAAATCTCACTTCAATAAATTATATCAGTACAGTCACGCAAGAATTAACTTATTTTGCTTCAGAAATCGTAGAAGAACAAATGAGTATTGGAGCCACAGAAACATTAGAAGAAGTTATCTCCAAAACCGAATTAATTACTAATATAATAACTAGCCTAAATAAAATAAAACAAAGATTACAAAATCAGTAAGACATTTTTGAAAATAGAGTAAGAGCAAAGGATATGGTATCAGAGCCAAACCGATCAGCTACTCTCCATTTCTCACATACCCGAATCAAATCGATCAGCTACTCTCCATTTCTCACATACCCGAATCAAATCGTTCCTAGCCGTTCGATCTTGACTTACCCACGTGGACACCTATCTGTCCCTGTTAGTATATACTAATAAAACACCTAGTTAGCACAAAGGACCGTCGGAGAGTCCAGCGCGCCACTTTTGTCAACTGGCCTATCTTCTTCTATTGATTTCCAAGAGGAGAACTTCAATTGGTTTCTTATTGGCACTGAAAATCTGCGAAGACCTTCGCGATCGCTTCAGCAAGGGAAACCTCATGCAAGCCTACGAGTTGTGTTGCTATGTGAGTCTTCTTTCACAAGGAAAATAAACCGTGTCGAGCTTTTATATCAAGCTCCATCGGATTCGCACAAGTTATTCGGCTAACTGCTAGATCCGTTAGCAGGTATTAATAGGGCCAGATTTGGTGTCACGTCGTGTCGAGCTTTTATATCAAGCTCCAACGGATTCGCACAAGTTATTCGACTAACTGCTAGATCCGTTAGCAGGTATTAATAGGGCCAGATTTGATGTCACGTCTGGTGAGGTAAGATACAACGGAGGAGAGAGGCAGGCTCTGGTGGCTCACTTAAGTGAGCTAGTGATGGGCTTTTGGGTATAAGCCGACCCATCCTCTGTCTGGCCGGCTTAGAGGACGTGCCGAAGCAGCAGCTTTGTGGGCCCGCTTCAGTTTGGGCGGGATTTTGGAGAGGAATGGAGAAAGAGAACGAAAATTGTGGGCCCGCTTATCCTTGTAATATTTATGTATGTTTGCTTGTGTGGATATTTATTTGTTTTCACCCGATATTAATATGTGTTGTGTTGATATTACTTTGTATCATTGTTGAAATAAACTAGTATTCTTTCTTCGCAAACAATTATCCATCATTCAACTAATGTTTACCAAACTCCAATATAACCCAACCATCTGAAACTTATTATACCAATTTAGAGTTTAGCTTTTAGGGTTCGGGTTTTGGATTTACAGTTTAAGTTTTGGGTTTACGGGTTAGTTTGGGCAATCGACAGACAAATATTTGCATGAACTGATATTATATGCAATGGATATTGTGTCTTCCATCAAAACTAAACACGCTATCAAGTCGAAACACATAATGCTTGCAACCTTAGTTAGGGCTGCCCGCTGAGGGCCCATGGGCTGAGGGCTCATGGGCCGAAGGCCCATGAAATAATAATAGCTTTTATGGTTTAGGGTTTAGTGATTAGGGTTTAGTTTTTTTAGGGTTAGGGTTTAGGGTTTATTAGTCTTGTGGTCGTTTGCAATAAATTGATATTAGTTTAAGTGGTTCGGATATTAGCTTTGGGTTGAATTGATATTAGTTCATGTTTTTGGATATTTTTGTGTGACGTTTAGATAAGTCTAATGGGGCACTTTTGGTCACTATTCCGATGTGATCCTTTTTTTATTTAAGTATATGAAATAATAATAGTTTTTATGGTTTAGAGTTTAGTGATTAGGGTGTTAATGTTAGGGTTTAGGTTTTTTTTAGGGTTAATGGTTTAGTTATTAGTCTTGTGGTCATTTGCAACGAATGTATGTTAGTTTACGTGGTTCGGATATTAGCTTTAGATTGAATTGATATTAGTTCATGCTTTCGGATATTTGTTTGGGGCGTTTGGATATTCTAATGGGTACTTTTGGTAACTATTTCGATACGATCCTTTGTTTATTTAAGCATCTAGCACTTTTGGTAACTATTCGGATTAGTCTACTACTATCAGATATTAGTCAGTATGTGGTGGATATTAGTATGTCATAGTGATAATATCCATTTTGGGATCACATGATATTCTTCTGAGACAGAAGGATATTAGACTGGGTGGTGTCGATATTTGTCTTGGTAGTGTGGATATTCGTTTTAGTTTTAGGGTTTACGGTTCATTAGTTCATGTTTTCGGATATTTTTTGGGACGTTTGGATATTCTAATGGGGCACTTTTCGTAACTATTCCTATGTGATCCTTTGTTTATTTAAGCATCTAGCCCTTTTGGTAACTATTCGTATTAGTGTACAACAATTATTATGTGTTCAGTATCCATCATTCACCAACCCAGTATCCATGTCTTTATTAAACTATGCAGATAATAGTTTAGGACAATCGAATATTTGGTTGTGTTATATCCAGACTCACTTAAGTAACATTGGACTTCACAATACTAATATGAGAGCATAATATCCAGACAGCGCAGATTAATATCCATACATTTCATAACTAATAGCCAGACCTAACATAATAATATTCCAGAATAATAAACTCAAATCCATACTAAAAAAGAGTTGTTTTATCAACAAACTGCGATAAAACTAGTATTCAATGCCATTACAACTAGGCAATCCCAGAATCTCAAATCCAAAAAGCACAACCACATAAGAAATGAGAAAGCAATAGTTTTGAGCCATTGATTTCCTCCACCTCCCCTTCTCATGGATGAGCTGTAATCGAACAGCTTTTGGATCTTGTCATCTTGAAAAATTCATGAAATACATGAAAAGAAATCATTAGGCATATGCACAGTCCAGACTAATATCCATATAGGGCATACAAATATCCAGAACTAGCATACAAATTTCCATGCATCATGGGCATACTAAATATCGACATTCAACAAACTGGTATCCCAAACATGTTAAATAATATTCCAGGTCAACAAACTACCGTATTAACGAGCAAAACTCGGAACTCCCAAAACAATACACACATTCAACAAAATGGTTTCCTAGGCATGCTAGATAATATCCCCGATCGACAAACTAACTTATTAACGAGCAGAACTCAGAACCCCCAAACAATATCCACATTCAACAAACTGGTATCCCAAGCATGCTAAATAATATCACAGGTCAACAAACTACTATATTAACGAGCAAAACTCAGAACCCCCCAAACAATATCCATATTCAACGAACTGGTATCCCAAGCATGCTAAATAATATACCAAGTCACAAACTACTATATTAACGAGCAAAACTCAGAACCCCCCAAACAATATCCGTATTTAACGAACTGGTATCCCAAGCATGCTAAATCATATCTCAAGTCAACAAACTAATATATTAATGAGTAAAACTCTGAACCCCCCCAAATTGAAAAAATCCAAGATCCCCCAAATCAAATCTCAAGGCATAGAAAGTGAATCTCAAATCCCCCGACAAGAGTCCCAGATCCCCAACAACGAATCTCAGATTCAAAAAATGAAGCAAAAAAAAAAAAACTCAGATCTAGTCAAATCCATGATACCCTAAATCAAATATAAAGAATCCTGAATCTCCCAAATCGAATCCCAAATCCCAGCCATAGAAAATCCCAGATCCCCCAAATCAAAAGAAACCCAGATCCCCCAAATCAAATCCCAAGGCACAGAAAGCGAATCTCAAATCCCCTGACAAGAATCCCAGATCCCCAACAACGAATCTCAGATCCAAAAAATGAAGCAAAAAAAAAACTTAGATCTAGTCGAATCCTTGAAACCTTAAATCAAATATAATGAATCCTGAATCTCCCAAATAGAATCCCATATCCCAGCCATAGAAAATCACAGATCCCCCAAATCGAATCCCAAGGCATAGAAAGCGAATCTCAAATCCCCCGACAAGAATCCCAGATCCCCAACAATGAATCTCAGATCCAAAAAACGAAGCAAAAAAAAAAACTCAGATCCAGTCGAATCTATGAAACCTTAAATCAAATATATGTAATCCAACATTCGTATCCATGAATCAAGGAAGGAGAAAGATAAAACACCTACCTCAAAGATCTGTCTTCACCGTCGCGTTGGTGCATCTGGAGAAAGGAAGATGCTTACCTAAAAAACTTTCTTCTCTTCACAGCCAGTGTCGTCGTCTTCTCGTGCTACCGGCGTCGATGTCTTCTTTCTTGCTCCGCCGACTTCGTCTTCTTTCAAGCACCGCTACCGGCGTTGCCAAGCACTGCCTTTTTCTCCTTGCATTGTCATCTTCTTCCTGCCCGTAGTCCTCATCGTCGACGTCGTGTTTCTCACACCCGTCGTTTTTGAGAGGTATTTTGTATTATTTGGGAGAGAGAGAGAGAGAGAAGAAGAAGAAGAAGAAGAAGAAGAAGAAGAAGAGAAGAGAGAAAAAGAAGTCGACAGTGTTGGAGAGTGGGAGAGAAAGGAAAATGAAATGATGGAGAGAGAAAAGAAAATTAAACATAAATGAAAAGTGGGGGTTTTTTGAATTGTGGGACCCATTTTTGTTTTAATTGTAGGAAGAGGCTTGATTCAGCCGAGCCACAAGCTGATCTCTTCTCCGTCTACCTTCCGATCGCGGCTCGCCTACGTGGCCTCAAATCCGGCTGTGTTAGTATATACTAACTACTTATAGAGTTAGCAGAATAACTATATTGCGTCGGATTTGGGAAGAAACCCAATCAATGTTGTCGGCGTCATTGTGTATTTGTGGGCTGCGGCCACCACAACTGTGATCAAAAGGACAGCCTTCATCTGGTCGATTTTCTTATTGGGTTCGATGAATCCTTTGTCACAGTTTGTAGCTGACTCACTTCTACTGTCACCCTAGGAATTGGCCAAGTGAAACCACTTCCTAAAGCGTAGTATATTGGGTTTAGGTTTAATTATCAACCCGGGTCCCAGATTTGATGACTAGTCAGTGAATTCTTGTTATCTAGCAATGAAACTGGAATGCAAGTCTAAACTACCAAACAAACAAAGCAAACAAACGGTTGTATTCAAGTTAAGAGAGGTCACCCGGATATGGTTCCCCCTAGACTGCAGTTAAGCCGGATTGTAATTACCATGTTCAGTTTCTATGATGGTTATACTGCGGAAGGTTCTTAAACAGCCTGAAGTCTCGACTAAAGGTCTCCAGACCCTCTCAATCTGAGTCTCTAGCGGGCGACTAACCTCCACCGGAGTAAACAGATTGAGGCCTTAACAAACAAAACCTCCACTACCGGAGTAAATCCGGTACAGAATAGTGAGTTGGCTCCTCGACTAAAGTCACCAACTCCCTACCTTCAATCAAGGATGCTCTATCAACCTAGGAAGATATTCTCATTCTAGGTTAAAGCATAAACAACAGGAATTTGATCAGGATTCAAGTCATTCAATCATTCAAACCTCAATCGAATATAATCAAATAATAGAATCAGTACTTGGGTTCATACAATCAAAGCCTAACATACAAATCTAGGGTTCTCCATACCCAGATGAATGGGAGAACTACTCCATGGAGAAAGAAGCAAAAGCAGAATCAGACGCGGAATTCATACTGTGAAGGATGAATTCCTGCTCCTGGACGTTGATCGGCACTTCTCCAAGCTCAAACTGGCGTCTAATGGTGTTGAAGATCAATCTAGGCCACTTGGAGACTCTTGTTCGTCGCTTTCTCTCTCTAGGAATCGTTTTCTCTCTCAAAAACTCGAATCCCTTGATTTTCAGCCCTCTTTTCCCTTAAAACAGCTGCCTGTCGCGATACCCGGTCGAAATACCCGGTCGGGTATTTTGGGTCTCGACAGGGTATTATCAAAACGCACGTTTCAAGCCAGGGGAAAATCCCCGGTCTGCTCCAATAATCCCCGACCGGGGATTTAAGCCTCACGACCGGGCCCCCCTCTGTTTGTCAGACGCCAAAAAGGGAATTCCCCGGTCTCCTCAGAATAATACCCGGCCGGGTATTTGTGGTTATGGCCGGGTATTTTCTTCCTTCAGCCCGCTTCAAGCCTCCCTTGCTCCTTTCGACCCGAATCTCGTTCCTTCGCCTCGATTCCGACGCCGGGTCCTGAAATATGACATAAACACACAAACTCTCGTGAAATCGGCTTAAAACCCGAGAATCAACCTCTCAAACGGCTCAAGAATAGGGGTGAAAACACGTGTAATTATCGGTCTATCAAACTCCCCCACACTTAACCGTTTGCTTGTCCCCAAGCAAACCTAACTCAAACCAATGCAACTCTCCAGACCTCTATAGCAACAAACAACCCAGATCGTAGGTAGAGGACTTCCTAGATCATTTAGCAGCTTACGAGGTCAACCGACGCACAAGTCATCTCATAACTTCTTCGGCGAGAGCACTAGTATCGAGTCGGCACCATGGCAAACAGTGAACAGAGGACAAATGAATTGTGGATGAAGAGATTCTCAAAAACAAAGGATCATGGACTCACATTTTTCAAGGTGCTCTATTTTCTTCTTGAAGATGGTTGGAACCCCTTTTCATTCTGTTTTGCTTGTTTTCTGTTATTATTTTTTTTTTCAAGGGTCCCAACCTGCTCTTACCGGCCATGCCAGGAGCGGATGTCTCGAGCCACGTGCGGGGGAAAGACATGTAAGGGGGCTGGAGGTAGTAGGTGGAAATTGGGAACGAATTCCCGTCTCCCCTTACACACTTTCACCCTATTTGCACGGGAGACGTTTTTTCAAAGCACATTTCTGAGCACCTGTTATTTTCAAAACATGATACAAGAGTCCACGACCGGTAGAGAATCCACAACACCACATAATTCATGGGTCCTAAGATCACTAATTTACTCAATCAACCAACACAATATGAAGAAGAAATGAGACTTCTTAAATGCATCAACATCCTCCATAGTGCTACACTACCTCCCTAGGTTGCATATTACTATAAAGACTGTCAATTCAAATCATACTGAGCAGGCAATTGCAAGGAAACACGTACTTGGAGCCCTCAAATTTAAAAATTTGGACAGTGGACTAGGCTCCAAGCACACAAACAGGTCTAATGCAGTCAAAAGATAAACACCCCCCCACACTTAAGATCGACATTGCCCTCAATGGAGAAGAGGGAAGGAAAAGGGGAACGATGTTACCGGTGTGCACGGACTGCAGGGGACTGGACACGGACCAGTCGGAATGAAGCAGTCTGGATAGAGGACCAGTCAAGACAAGCACAGCTAAAAGGAAACCAAAGAGCTCAACACAATACGTCAGGTCTAATGGTTAGCCCAATAGTACAGAATCCAACATAAAAAGAAAGAAACCAAACCAACACAAGACAGTTTGCACATTGATAAAAACAAATACACTCAAAACATGGCACTAGGAACCGCCTCCTAGACCGGTGAAGTCGATCTGGTTCATGAGGTTGTCATCTCCATCATCCGGCGGTGGTGGTGGTGAATGATCCCACCGGGTGGTCCAGTGGTGCTCCTCCGGGGGGTGGCAGGCCTGGAGCAGGTGCTCAGAGTACTCCATCAATCGGCGGCCGCGATCTCTCTCCCGCTCGATGAGAGCACCCGTGACTCCCATATGGGTCTCTAGGCGGCCGAGGCGATCGTCAACAACCTGCAGCTTGCACTGGTACTCGGCCTGGTGGGCCGAATACTGCTGGTAGAACTGGACCTGATGGTCCATGAGCTGCTAGTTCTGAAGACCGAGCTGCTGGAACTGCTCCGTGAAGAAGTCCATCGACGGGCCAGAAGCCATCGACGGACCAGAAGGACCGGAGGAGGACTCACCTCGCTCCTATCTCCGTCGTGGCCGAAGGTCCCCTGGTGGAGAGAGCGAGGGCTCCGGCTCATTCGTATCCATGGCCCCGCCATCATCATCATCATCATCCTCATCATCCTCCGTGCCAGAATAGTCAGCGTCCTCCTCATCGTCATCGAGATCCTCATCCTCATCCTCATCAGGAGGCATAGAAAGCCCATCCACCCAGGTGCGGGTGCCATCACTGGTCAGGAGGAGTGCATTATAGAGCACTTCCCGGCTGAGGGGGGTGGAGCCGCCCTGTGCAGAAGAATCTGTGAGCCCCTGGAAGCTAATGTTGAAATGGCGCGTTAGACGGGTGATTAGGGGACCACAGTAGAGATGGTTGGGCTTCCCGTGGCATCGAGCGAAGGTGGTGGCCACGAAGGAGCCCAAATGCAACATGTGATCCGGGTCCCGCATCGAGAACATAGCATAGAGCACCCGCTTCGGAATCTTGTGCGAGCCGGTGACGTTGGGGACGATGGAGCGGGTGATGAGCAAGTTCAAGATGTGCCACTGCGGCTTGAGGGTGCGGACGTACGTCTGGCCAGCGTCGAAGTAATCGAACGCATAGGCGAACCGGGCAATCTGCGAGTAGAAATAATCCATGTTCCAATCTGTAGGATTCGGGACCTCGATCACGTGGCGGGAAGATGGGTGATACTGGATCCCCAAGGCAGCGGCCAACCCGTCAATGGTCAGCTCCCGGGGATAGCCACCTAGCCTGAATTTCACTGCAGGGGAGTCCCGGGCCGCTTTGCTGTTGTACTGGAAGGTGGTGTAGAATTCCCACACTAGCTCAGTGTAGGTGGGCTCGTCAATAGCCAGCAGCGTCCGCCAATCGCGGTGGCCGATGGCGGCGGAGAGCTCTTGCATGCAGTGGAGCTGCTCGAACACCGCCCACTCCAAATGGTGGTGGCGCTCCAACTTCCCCCGAATCACCGCGCGGAACTGGTCCGCGTAATCTGGGTGCAGGCTCAGGTCCTGCACAAACTCATGGTCGAGGGACATGTTCCTGCAAAATCAACAAACCAAAGGTGGAACCCAGAAAAGACTTGTCAGGACCAACAGCATGGGTTCATCACTTCCCCCACACTTAAGGAGCACCTAGGCTAACAGTTGTAAGCACAGACGGTTGAATCGCAAGCAACCCAACCGGAATCAAGGCAGGAAACACAAAACCAACCACAATAAGTACACGGGCAGCACATACACCATATATAGAACCATGCATACTCAAAGCATCCCTCACCCTATTCTAGTTCTCGGTCCTACAATCTACAGTTCCATTTTCCAGGTAAGGACAGGTAACAGGAAAACACACCTGGAAACGCAAGGAGAACTGTAGCTAAGGCACAAAAAATGGGTGAGGGACGCGAGATAGAGGCCAAAAATGACCCGGGAGGCTCGCTGGAAAACCGCCGGAAAGTGGCCGGAAAACCGCCGGCAAGTTGACCGACGGCGGAGGGCGGCGGCGGCCGGCGGCAGAGGGGCGGTGGCCGGCGGCTCGCAGAAGAGAGAGGGGAGAGGATTGGAGAGGAAGAGAGGGGGAAATTTTGAAAAAATGAGGGTAGAGAGAGAAAATGGCCAGGGGTTTGCTATATATAGCAAAAATACCCGGTCGGGCCTCCAAAATACTTGGTCGGGTATATTTGATTACACGACCGGGTTTTCAATACGCGGCGTGTCAAGTGCAAGGGAATCCCAGGTAGAGCTTGAGACGATGGCCATTCACTTTAAACGGCTCAGTTTGCGGGTTAGCAATATCAATCGTGCCATACGGGAACACCTGTGTGACCGTGTACGGTCCAGACCACCGGGAACGGAGTTTTCCGGGAAAGAGTTTCAGGCGAGAGTTATAAAGGAGAACTCGATCACCAACCTGGAACTCTTTCGGACCCCGCAACCGTGCATCGTGGAGGCGCTTTGTGCGCTCCTTGTACAGCTTGGTGTTCTCATAGACGTGATAACGCCACTCTTCCAGCTCCAACATCTGCATTTTTCGCTCAACACCTGCAACACTAACATCCAAGTTCAGCAGCTTAAGGGCCCAGAAGGCCTTGTGCTCGAGCTCCACGGGCAGATGCCATGCCTTTCCATAGACAAGCCGGTACGGTGAGGTACCAATGGGCGTCTTGTAGGCAGTGCGATATGCCCACAGAGCATCATCGAGCTTGGTGGACCAATCCTTGCGGGATAGATTCACCGTCTTCTCAAAGATCCGCTTGAGCTCCCGGTTCGTCAGCTCGACCTGGCCACTGGTTTGAGGATGGTAGGCCACGGACACCTTATGAGTTACACCATAGCGAGACAACAATTTATTGAACTGACCCTGGAAATGGGTGCCTCGGTAGCTTATGATGGCTCTAGGTGTCCCGAATCGGGAGAATAGCTGCTTCAGAAAACCACAAACACGTCTAGCATCATTAGTGGGTAAAGCTTGCGCCTCAGCCCACCTAGAGACGTAGTCAACAGCAACAAGGATATATGTATTACCAAAGGATGGAGGGAAGGGGCCCATGAAGTCGATACCCCAGACATCAAAAATCTCACAAGTAATAAACACATTCTGGGGCATCTCATCACGGGCAGAGATGTTACCTGACCACTGGCATCGGTCGCACCTGCGTGCGAAGGCGTCTGCGTCCTTGAAGAGCGTGGGCCAGTGGAAGCCCGACTGGAGCACCTTCCTCGCCGTGCGGTTTCCTCCGTGGTGACCGCCAGCAGGTCCTTCATGACAGTGAGATAGAATGCCCTCCATCTCACTCTCCATAACACATCGACGGATGATCCCGTCGGCTCCGATCCTGAAGAGATGGGGGTCATCCCAGAAGTAGTACTTCAGGTCGGAGAAGAACTTCCTCTTGGCGTGAGTTGTCATCCCCTTGGGAAGCTGCTGGCCCACAAGATAATTAGCAAAATCAGAATACCAGGGGGTGACACTCTCCACCAGGCACATCATCAGCAGTCTCTCATCTGGAAAGGAGTCACTGATCTCCTCCTCGAGGTTGTCCGCAGGGGGTGCGTCCAACCGGGAGAGGTGATCGGCAGCAACATTCTCTGCTCCCTTCTTGTCCCGAATCTCAATGTCAAACTCCTGCAGTAGTAAGATCCATCGTATGAGCCTAGGCTTGGCGTCAGCCTTGCTCATCAAGTATCGAATCGCGGAGTGATCAGTATACACAATCACATGGGACAAGACCAGATAAGGACGAAATTTATCGAAGGCAAACACCACCGCGAGCAGCTTTTTCTCCGTGGTGGTGTAGTTCTCCTGGGCATCATTCAAGGTCTTCGAGGCGTAGTAGATAGGTCGGAAATGCTGATCACGCCTCTGCCCCAACACAGCTCCCACAGCAAAGTCACTGGCATCGCACATAATCTCAAATGGTAAGGACCAGTCAGGAACAACCATGATAGGAGCTTGTGTGAGCTTCTCCTTCAAGGTCGTGAAAGCCGCTGTGCATGCATCAGTGAACTGGAAGGGGGCATCCTTCTCTAGCAGCTTAGTCAAGGGCAGAGCAATCTTCGAGAAATTCTTGATGAACCGCCTGTAGAACCCTGCATGACCAAGAAAACTCCGGATCCCCTTAACAGATGTAGGAGGAGGCAGCTTGCTGATAGTCTCGATCTTCGCTCTGTCCACCTCAATCCCCATCTTGGAGATCTTATGCCCAAGAACTATGCCTTCGCGAACCATGAAGTGACACTTCTCCCAACTCAGTGCCAGGTTCGTTTCTTCACACCGTTTAAGGACAAGTTCCAGGTTATGGAGACAGTGAGAGAATGAGTCTCCATAAACCGAGAAATCGTCCATAAACACCTCCATAATCTCACCGACCAGACGGTCTAAGATGGCAAGCATGCATCGCTGAAAAGTGTCCGGGGCATTGCATAGCCCGAATGGGATCCTCCGGTAGGCAAAAGTGTCGAAGGGGCAGGTGAAAGTGGTCTTCGCCTGGTCCTCTGGTGCAATCGGGATCTGGAAGTACCCAGACATCCCATCAAGGAAACAGTAGAACTCGTGCCCCGCCAGTCTCTCCAGCATCTGATCAATGAATGGTAGCGGGAAGTGGTCCTTCCGAGTGGCGTCGTTGAGACGCCGGTAATCAATGCAGACACGGTACCCAGTCATCGTGCGCATCGGGATCAGCTCATTCTTCTCGTTAGGCACCACAGTCATCCCACCCTTTTTGGGTACCACCTGGTTGGGACTGACCCACTCGCTGTCGGAGATGGCGAAGATGATCCCCGCGTCCAGCAGCTTCACGATCTCTGCCCGAACCACAGCCTCCAGGTTCGGGGTCAGTCTTCTGTGCGGCTGTCTCACTGGCCGCATCTCATCCTCCATCAGTATCCGGTGGGAGCAGAAAGAAGGGCTGATCTCCCGGATGGCTGTGATCTTCCATGCAAGAGCTCGCTCGTACCGCTTCAGCAAGGTCACCAGTCTGGTCTTCTGCTCGGGTGTGAGGGTCGAGCTGATGATGACTGGCAGCTTATTCCCCTCCCGGAGAAATGCATACTCCAAATAAGGAGGGAGGGGCTTAAGCTCCAGCTCTGGTGGTTCCTCCAAGGAAGTAGCGATGCGGGTGGAGGATGAGATCGGTTTGAACAGCCTGTCGCCCTCCAAGAAGGGGCCACTCTCCAACTCGGCCAACTGCTCCGCCAGCTGCGGCTCCTGCGATGCCTGCTCATCTAGCAAAATACAACGCTCAAGAACATCGTCAGTACCCGCACTCGTTATAGCGAGTGCGGTCTCAAAATCAGCAATCATATCACAGTAATCTATGTCATCATGCAAATGAGGGTGTTTCCCATTCTCAGACACAGAAAAGGTAGCCTGTTCATCACCAGCACGCAAAATCAATTTACCACTATGCACATCAATAAGCGCCTTGGCGGTGGCGAGAAACAGTCTACCTAAAATCAAAGGTACATCCACATCCTCATTTATATCCAAAATAACAAAGTCAACAGGATATGTGAATGCACCCACATTAACAAGCAAGTCCTCAATGATACCCCTAGGATGCACGATAGAACGATCAGCTAACTGAATGCTCATCCTAGTAGTTCTAGGTTCACCTAGGCCTAGCTTCTTAAACAAATTATAAGGCATGACATTTATGCTAGCGCCTAGGTCCGCCAAGGACTTTCCTATATGCATGCTGCCAATAACAAGAGGGATAGGAAAACTCCCTGGGTCTTTTCGCTTCTCGGGCAGCTTGTTCTGCAGGATGGCAGAACATCCTCGCTCAGCATCACTGTCGAAAGATCCCCAAGTTTCTTCTTGTTGGTGAGGAGGTCCTTCATGAACTTGGCATACTTGGGCATCTTTGACAGTGCCTCCACGAACGGCATGCTGATGTTGACCTGCTTCAACATTGCCATGAACTTGGCAAACTCAGTCTCTAGCTTGTCTTTATGCAGGCGAGTGGGGAAAGGAAGCTGAGGTACATGCTCCTTAACCACTGGTTGTGGCTTGGGAGCAGGCGTTGTTGTGTCTTCCCCCACTTCTGCAGTATCAACTGGAAGTGTTGAAGCAGGCAGTGGCTCATCTCGACTGGGCTGGGCAAGAGCAGCTGATGTGGTCTTGCCACTCCTAGTAGTGATGGCATCAAGCTGCTGGAGCTGGTTAGGATCACGAGAATTCGGGACAGTGGTGACAGGCAAAGTCCCCGGGGCCCTGGTGGTGTTCTGGCGGGCCAAGATACCCACCTGGTTCTGCAGATCTTGCAAGATGGCACCCTGGTTCCTCTGACCTGCATCCAGTGACGTGATAGCTGCCTGAGTGCTAGTCATGAATGAAGCCAGAATATTTTCCAGCTTCGTCATCTGAGTATCTTGAGCCGGAGCTGCTGCTTGCTCGGCGAACTGGCGCTGGGGCTGCTGGAATGGTTGCCCTTGCCTAGGCTGGTAGGGCTGCTGCTGTGGAACTGGCCCCTGTCGAGCCTGGTAGGGCTACCTCTGCTGAAAGCCACCAGTTGGTGCTGGGAAACCAGGTGGCTTAGTGGTGTTGCTGCCCCAAGAGAAGTTGGGATGCTGGCGCCACCCCTCATTATAGGTGTTGCTGTACGGGTCGAGGCGCCGAGCATTGGCAATGAAGTCCAACTACTCTTGGGGAGTAGTAGACGCCCTCATAGCCTGGCAGTCTTCCACTAAGTGATTCGAGCTCTCACACCACTGACACTGAGCAACTGGAGGTGTAGCCAAACCTCTGCCTGGAATAAGACTGTTGGGCTGCTTCAATGTCTGCACTAGCTCAGCTACCTGCTGCTCGAGCCCGGATCTGGTCTCCAGGGCGTGCACACCACGGTCCCGGGACTATCTGCCTCTGCTACTCTGTCCCTAGGAATGATCTCTGGCAGCCAAAGTATTAATCATCTGGTTCTGGTGGAGTCTTAGTAAGAACATCCCCTCCTGGGCATAGAGACTCAATCACCCTCTGGCTGTCTGGAGAGAGAGCACTGTAGAAGTTCCCCACTGTGAATGCATCACTAAAGCCATGATGGGGACACTGCCAGAAATATCCCATGTGCCGCTCCCATGCATCACGAAGTGACTCATCTGGC